ACGCTTTTCTCGGATGACCCGGCAGTTGAGATAATATAGGCGCCTGAATAATTACCTATACTGTTTTGGGGGTCTAGTTATCAAGGCCCCTACATGACCCGTGCATGCACCATGAAGCCTCAAAACCTAAACCCCGAAGGCCTTTGGGTTTAATATAAGGGGCCTGAATAATTAGAATAGTGTTTGGGGTATATTACTCTGTAGCCATAAGAAGGAATCCCCAAAACCCTATTCTAATTATTAAGGCCCCTACATTAGGCCTTAGGGTTTAGGGAAGTTTCAGAGCATCCTCCATGCAAGTGGGAATGTCCCAACCGGGCGCCTATATTCTGAGGGTCCTTACATTACCATGATCGAATTAGGTCTTAAAGACCATCCTTATTAAGGTTTGGGAACTATTTCCATAGTAGTAGTAACAGTACAACAGTATGAGTGGATACATGGGTCCTCTTGGATAAGGACCCGGCAAGCCCTAACTTGCATTACTTAGGAAGCCTCCAAGATCTTGGCGCAAACCCCTCAATCCGTTTTGGGGTTTGGGGTTGAAGGTTTAGGCCTTAAAATTGAGGGTGTGGGGCTCAAGGATTACGGACCCTCATGCCAGGGAGCCTAAATCAAAAAAGCCTCAAAGCTCCGAGGCAGTCGGCACACCAGGCTGGATGGTGTGGCATTTCTATAGCCCGATACATCCGGAAGCCTGGGCAATTCATCAGTAATCGAATTCATATTATTGGGTTCCTGATTAGTTTATCTAAACCCTCAACGGAAGTCCAGTCCAATTACAAAGCTCACTATATGGGGGTTTCCGAAAACAGGGGACCCTAATCTAGTAGCCTAAATGGTAGGATCCTTATTACAAGGACCCCAAAATAAGGTACCCCTTATTTTCGGAAACTCCCATATATTACCGACTTCGGGATCCACGGGTAGCCAACCTCTCGGTCCTTGGAAGCCCAGCGTTTACCTGAACCCGATGAAACCCGGAGACTCCAATACCCCTTAATTAAGGAATATACCTTAAATCTTATCAGGGATCCTACTATAATTTGAGGTATATTCCTTAATTCAGGGGTATTGGAGTCTCTGGGAACCTACATGTGTCGGGCTCCTTATTTTGCTTTCCTTGCACAAGTCCGTCAAAGAGGCAGTTTAGGGAGACAGACGACGGATCAAGAGTTTGGGCTTCGACTGTCGCAGAAGTGTACTGTAGACATCCGAATAAGAAGCCCTCCTCCCGAATAGGGACTTCAACGGATCACAGATCCGAATACAAGGCCCTTGAAGACTAAGATAGGTATTTTTTACAGGGGCTTTACATCAGGGGCCCGCACTTTTTTTTTTCCTAGCGTTGGCGGTCCCCGACGGCCTTGGTAACGTTGGCGGTAAGCCCACACACACAGCCCACAAGCACAGGTATGCAGAATTGGCGGAGGGGAGGGCGCACATGAACTAGATGTCGCGGTAACGCAGGACGAAGATGAGCCCAAACGGCTGTATGCACCGCATGTCGCAAGAGCCCCGGGAGGTCTCATGC